CTTAAGTTTAACAATGATTATTTCAAGGCTGTGCTCTAAGGAAAATTCTAGGGAGTCTAATGCTCTGTATGTGAGTAACACAGGGTACCCAGCTTATGATTTCTATGCAAGAATTGAGATTTCCTAGTGTCACCCAAGAGCAACAGTATGGCACCAGGGGCCAACAGGTGCTGTTGGAGTACGTAGCCCTGAATTTTGTTTGATTTTTCAGGGCACCTGTATTGCTGATAGATAAAGCAACCGAGTGTGAGCACAAGATGGTCATGAAGGATCTCTGCTGTGACTGTGGTGCTGATCTTAGGAAGTAGGTATCTACATGTATTACTGTAGCTCATTAGGTGTTACAAATAACAAGTGTCTCTTTACTCTTGCAAGAGGTTTAAAAATAATATTAGTCTGTATTCATAAAAAAACTAATTTTAGGTTGGTCCTGGCTTTTCTCACTGGGAACTAGTTTTTACATCTCTCCTTAATTGCTTTTGAAGTTCTAGCATTCTTAAGGGCTCTGGACACTTAGCATTTGTCAGGCCAATCCAGTTTTAAGGAGTATTCCACTATTAATCAGAACTTTCTGGCAGGATCCTTTTATTCCCAAATGGTATATACGGCAGTGATGGGTTTAAGTAAAAATTTAAGAAAAGCCTAATAATTCATTTTCAAAATGACTGGTCTGTCTGCTCAGTTCTGACTTTGGAAAGCACCTGTAGTAGCACCTGGCAATTTTCTTCCTAATGTTCAGAGTCATTCTTTCTTTCCTACAACTAAGGAGGCAGCGTGGCCAAGCGGTTGAGGCACTGGACCTTGTCCTGCCCTGACCTCTAGCTGGATTTGTTCTCATTAGTCCCGAGTTCAAATCCTCGACCACTTTTGTAAAATAGCCAACTGGTTCACCTACTACCAGTTGGGATTTTTAATCATGTTACTTTCCAGTTAAATTATTTGTTTCATTATCCCTGAAAAGCCCCATAAGGGGAGAGGATAATTATCAAAGTATTATTATTATTTTTACCAACATGTACCCCCAAGGGGTGAATCACGTGTCGAGGGAGGAAGATGCTTGTCAGAAAATAAGAAGTAAATGAGACCATTCGCTAGTTGCAGTAAAGACATGTCATTGAATGTTTCTTCTTCTTCTTCTTCTCATCCTCTTCTGCTTTCTTTCTTTTTTTTTCTACAAGCACTGACCTAAGCAGTACCAATTTGGGCTAAAATACTGGTTTTCTAATCTAAGTGATACCAAAATACAGTGGCTGCAATAATATTTTTACTCTCCTAAATGAAATGACAAACATCACCACCCCATTCACTACCCCAAGCATCTGCCATTGAAGCTGTTCAAACTTCTAGACTAGAGTTTGGCAGATAAAATTTTTACAGTTGTTTTTGGCTTGTGTGGATCAAATATCATAACAAAAATCTATGGAAAATTTGCAGAAAATTAGAATCCTAAATCATAAACTTCCTTCAGAATCCACTTTAAGCAGTTTCATTGTATTTCTGTTCAAAGACTCAATGAAGAACAAGATGAACCATCCTCTCCAACTCTGGCATCTGTTCCTCTCATACATAACATCCCTGAGTTGAAAGTAAGCCCGGAGGTATGTATGCAGACTTAACATCGTTTAACTGTTTTTATAAAACGGAGGGTCTAAAGTGCAGGTCACTTTTCCGTAGGTTAAAGTACAGGTTACCATGATACAGATAATTGAACAGCATTAAAAGTGTCTCCTAGCCCTAATCTCTTAACAAAACGCTCTATTAGATCGAGGGGAATCTGTGTAGTTTAGTAATTTATCGATGGAGCAGTGACCTGTACTTTAGACCCAGCATCTAAAAGAGTACCGCAACCAAAATTCAGGACATACCTCAAACAAAACAATACAGCACTGCTGCCTAAAGAAATGTTGACCTCCAACTCAAAAGTTTGAACTATATTACCAAAATATCCTGATGACAGGCCATGAGCATATATAATTTAGTACTGTATTTATGTACTTCATTTACAAACTTAATTTCACTCCGACAAAAAATTCCAGGTTCTAAATTTAACTGCACATAACTGAAACATTTCAAAACAAGATGCTATTATATAGATACATGCAGATGGTCCTGTAAGCAGGGGAACTTATAACCAAGGTAAAATTTCTGTTCACAAAATGGAAGGCGTATAAGCAGGGGGACTTATAACTGTTAGGGATTATAACCAGGAATTTATGGTGCTTTTCTTTATTACATTTATTTTACCAACAACATATATATGTTACAGGACAAAATTAAATTCAGGTTAAATTTTTTAACCTACAATCCTGGCCAAAAGGTTTTGGGACACCTCCCCTTTTTCACTTGGTTTTGTATGGAATTTGCAGCCAACCTGCAATACACACTCATAAACACGGCCTTAACAAGATTTTTCCCCCACCCCCCCTAAACAAAGTTGAGGTCCATAAAGTGTGCAAGATATGTAAAAGGTGTTTGACTTGTAACACCCAACACTGTTCAGGGGGGGAGGGGGGTCAACTTGAATTACATTTTCCTCACCTAAAACGGAAAGTGTCCCAAACATTTTGACCAGGATTGTAGATTGATTTTAAATCCTTTGTCTCCTAGCCCTAATTCAT